TAACGGGGTGGCCCTTCCATTGAAGGTATTTGGTTGTGTGTCCTTTGTGAAGGACAACAGATCATCGGTTGGCATTGTTTTAAATATCGGCCGATAATCGATATTATCGACCGAGTTATCGGATTTTTGAGCTCTCTGCTAGGATAAGTTGGTTTTGTAATTGGTTATCGTTTTGAAGAGATTATCGGCGAGTTATCGGCATTATCAGCACTTATCGGCTGATAAGTAAGGCTAAATTATCGGGATTATTGGGATTATCGTGCAGGTATTTTGAGTTGAGTTGTTGAGTTTTTAAAACCCGACCCGACCCGTTTTGTTAATAATATAAAACTTAAAACCCGAAACTTTGTGAATCCGACCTTCAAACCCTAACTTCGTCTCTGGCGGCTGCTCCTTTTCTCGTAGGACGTTTCCTCCGTTATCTCCATCTTATGTTCTCTGCGCCTCTTCGTTGCTCGCCTTCGTGAACTTCAACCTTGAACTTTGTCGCTCGTCTACCCTCTGTCAACCATGTTTTTTTGTCCAGAAACATGGCTATATACACATGCTGTGAGCTTTCCTTCTTTTGTAATTCCTTCATGCACACTTTCTCTTTTGAGTAATATCAGTTCTATAACTATTCCTTTATCATACTTTGCTTTTTCAGTTTTTCCTGTAATAGAGACTTATATAAGAAATTAGTGAATAAACTGTACATACTTTGCTTTTCTATTTTGGTATGTTTATATTTTCATTAAGCATGGTTAGATTATATTTTTTTTAATTGTTATATTATATATATACACCATCCAATATATTGCTCCGATAAGTACTACTTATCCCTGATATATATTCAATTTTAGCTATCCGATAAGAATTTTGGCTGTCCGATAAATCCCCGATAACCGATATTTAAAACCTTGTCGGTTGGGAAGCTAGACCCTAAGGCTGTGAAGTGTATATTCGTGGGATACAATGGCATCCAGAAAGGGTATGTCTGCTGGAGCTCGGTGGAGAAAAGGCTATTTGTCAACATGGATGTGCGGTTTCGGGAGCTCGAGCCGTACTACACAATGGGGGTTACTTTACCTTTTGACGACTTGCCCGATACTGGAGGTATGAGGCGAGAGAGGGAGAATGGTGAGAGCTCAATGGGGTCAATCTCAATTTCGATTCCGTACCCAGAGGAGCAGGAGGATGAAGACGAAGGGGAGGAGGAGAGAAGTGGTATTAGGCCTACAGCTCAGGGAGAGTTGCTTACATACAGTAGGAGGGGAAATGAGCCAGAGGTGCCTACAATGACAGTGCCTATTCCCTCGTCTAGCTCTGCTCCAACTCCTGAGACACCTACACCACCCTTCACTTCAGGTAATATCATTCCTACTCCTACCCCTCTCCCCACACCAATGTCAGTAAGGAGGACTACTCGCAGTAATGCGGGAAATCCTTTTGAGAGATATGGTTGGGATCTAGCTTAATTTGTTTCCTATTCTCACATATTCCCTTCACATGGAGCATTCATTGCATCATTAGATTATGTTATTATACCTAACAACTGGCAGGATGCTAAGGACCCAAAGTGGAAGGCAGCTATGCACGAGGAGCTGGAGGCTCTTAAGAAGAACCACACGTGAGAGTTAGCGACACTGCCAGCAGTGAAAAGAGCAGTGGGATGCAAGTGAGTATTTACCGTGAAGCAGAACTCAGAAGGGAAGGTTGAACGATACAAGACACGACTAGTGGCAAAAGGGTATAACCAGACATACGACGATAACTACGATGGGACTTTTACACCAGTGACGAAGATGAGTACTGTTCGGATGTTGAAGAATGCGTTTCTTCATGGAGATCTAGTGGAAGTGGTGTATATGGAGATACCACCTGGATGTGGCACAGGACAGACAGTGGGTAAGGTCTGCAGGCTGAAAAAGTCTCTGTATGGGCTGAAGCAGTCTCCTCGAGCATGGTTTGACGGGTTCAGAAGAGCCATGGTTGGTATGAGATACAGACAGATTAATGCCGACCATACTGTATTCTTCGAAAGAAGTGGGATCACATCATTATGCTGGCAGTGTATGTGGATGACATGATCAGCACAAGAGATGATGAGAAGGAGATTGCTCAGCTCAAGGTAAGATTGAGCAAAGAATTCGAAGTGAAGGATCTGGGTCAGCTTCGATACTTTCTTGTGATAGAGATAGCTCATTGACCGAAAGGGATTGTTCTCTCCTAGAGAAAGTATGCACTGGATCTTCTTGCAGAGACGGGGATGTTGGGGTGCAAGCCTGCTACTACACCGATTGATCAGAGTTTCAGGCTGAGTGCTGAGGCAAGAGAACCTGTTGATCGTGAGAAATATCAGAGATTGGTGGGCAGACTGATCTACCTGAGTCACACACGTCCAGACATCTCATTTGCGGTAAGTGTGGTGAGCCGCTACATGCATGACCCGAGGAAGGGTCATATGGATGCAGTATATCAGATACTGAGGTATCTGAAGGGTGCCCCTGACAAAGGACTAAGATTCAGGAGGAGTGACCATGTGAACATTGAGGGCTACTGTGACTCAGATTGGGCTAGCTACGGAGATGATCGGAGGTTTACCTCAGGGTATTGCATATTTATAGGAGGCAACTTAGTCTCCTGGAAAAGCAAGAAGCATTCTATGGTGGCGAGATCAAAAGCTGAAGCAGAGTACAGAGCCATGACCTTGGGGGTTGCAGAGTTGACGTGGCTGAAGAACATGCTGGTGGAGCTGAATCTTGACCAAGGGGCCAAGATGAGTTTGTGGTGTGATAACAAGTCAGTTATCAGCATCGCCAACAACCCAGTTCAGCATGACAGAACTAAGCACATCGAGATTGATAGATTTTTCATCAAGGAGAAGCTGAACAGTGGGCTACTGGAGTTGGGCCATGTTCTAACTAAAGAGCAGGCTGCAGACTGCTTGACTAAAGGGCTTAGCTCAGTAGATCTAGCTAGAGGGTGTGACAAGATGAGCTTAATAGATATCTTTCGTCCATCTTGAGGAGTGTTGAGAATGTAATGTAATTAAGGAGTTTTAGAGGGGTTTTGTGTAAATGTGTGTGTAAGGCTATATAAGCCAATCAATTCTATCAATGAAATTAGACTTA